TTGCTTGAAAAGTTTTTGGAGATGCTGTTTTCTCTCCATTAAATGCTCTTCTTCTAGGGATCTTCTTGATTTCCTCTCTCATCTTTTTCAGGTAGTTAGCTAAAAATCACCTTCTCTGGGAGGACAGACACCCTTATTTTAAAATACCACTTCAATCACATCCCAAAAATCTTGTATCAAACTTATTCTCTATTTCACTTGGTTAGCCCTTATCCTAAGAATGAACTCTTTGTGAAAATGGGGTAGATTTTATTCACTGCACTCCCCTCCCATGGCTTCTTGTTGTTCATCCTCTGCAGTACAAACTTAATATATATTTTTGAAATAAGCACATGGGTAAGAGAGACAATCTAAGGTACAATTAGTGGTGAACCGAGTTTCTTTGTTTTCCTAGATTCTAAACTATGATAAAAAGAGATGACAATTTAGGCCCATAAGGGCTTAGAAGTGTTAACTTTCTTCTTTTTTAATGATAATAAATATATGGTTGATTTTAGAATTTTTGTAAAATTTTTCACTTATGGTGTTGCCAAGAATATACTCATATTGATGATATTTCTCAAAGTATTTGGATTTTACAAGTATGTGTGATGCTAGGACAAGGGACTCTGTTTATCTGGGTATTCTAGCCAAATCATTCAACCTTGGGATAGAAGGAGTAAAGGAATAAGTCATGGTCACTTAGAAGTTTTAATGCATATTAGTAAAAATTTGCTCTAGAAGTATTAAATTTTGATATTTGTATATTTATCAACAGTCAATATGCAGTTCTCATCTTATTAAAATTACTCACATAGAACTTGCTAGAATCCCAAGCTTTTTTTTTCCAAAACTTTTTTTAACCTATAATGTTTGACTCTATGGCTGCCATAGCCAAACATGAAAAGTGGGTCAAGATTTTAATGATGTTGATTTTACAGATGTGGAAACTGAGCTTCAAAATAAAAAATGAATTGTTTGTTTCCACTGGCAGCATGAGAGTGAAGGTTGGAACCTATGCCTTTTTATCCTGACACAAAATCTCTCTATTTAACTGCCCAGCATCTTGATGGTTGAACAACCAAAATTTCTTTGAATAAAGGATAAGGTGAATTTTGCTCTGAGCTTAGAGACAGTTATTGAACACAAGTCAATTTGATTGTGTGATGATGCCTTCAACTTTTTTAAAAGGTAGTCTTTATAATGTTTAACAAAATGTGACTTATTCCTAATCAGTTTTAAGGATTCAACTCTAACAAGTTGCTCAGAAACATAGTTAAATCAAGCATTCACAAGCAAGAATTAAAATGTTAAAAAGGTTGCTATGGGCTTGTGTGTTTAGAGACATGGAATTTTGCAAAGTGCAAAGAAATGGGGGTAGATGAATAAACAGAAATTGAAGACAATCCAGACAAATTTAATTTAGGGTGGTAAAAAAAATTATCTCTTGTATGTCTTTAGAAAAATAAATCTCCAAATGTGAACTCTGAGATGTTATTGCATGTTCATTAAATAATAGCTGATGAACACTTGAAAAAAATGCTGCAAACAATGGCCATGGATGAGTGATTAAAATATACAATACCATAAGTTCTCTTTTCTAAGTTTCCCTACTTATAAAATATGAGTCATAATATTGCTGACTTCATGATTACTAGGGGATCAAAGGAGAAAAACCACGTAATATGCCTAGCTTATGGGATGCTTTCAAATAATAATTACCATATTATGTTAAATCCTTTGAGAGATCTCACAATGAAGAAACCTCCATAAATCATATTAACTCAGTTTTTCCCTAACATGTTTAACCATGGGGTCAGCATCTAGGAATATAGCAAATAAGTTTGTGAGGTACTATTGTAGAAGACTCAGGAGGCCATAAGGACTAGAGTCATAAGAAGCAGTGCGGCAGCCACTTCTGAACAAAATGCTTATTAATAGATCTATCAATGCTTATTGTTCTGTTTGAATGTTCTTTATTTTTTTGGGAAAAATTCTTAATATTCTCTGATGGAGAAATTAACGCCATGGCCCACATTCTCTTCCTCCTAATAGTCACATCCTTTGCAATGTGATTTTGCAACAATTCCCATGGAGTGATCCATGCTGTTTTTGTACTCCTTAAATGGACAGATCTTGCGAGTTATGTAACTGTCTGACTGTGGCAGCTAGGCTTCAAAAGATTGCACACTTCCCTTCCCTGGCCTTTATCATGTGCAGCCTAACAGATCAGACTGTGAGGCATACAGAGAATAGCATCCTCAACTCATTGTCCTAACTAACCAAGGCCCTGGCCCTGTAAGGAGCCTGATCTGGAGGACACAGCTACCCAGTCCTTGAGCTACCTGCAGACTTGTGAATGAGCCCAGCCATAGAACCAAAGTTAGGCTTAACCTGGGAGACCCATAAGTTTGTAAGAATAATATATGGTGATTATATTAGGCCACAAATTATAGAGTTGGTCACTCAGTGGTATAGAAATAGCTCTATTCATAGATCATTTGTAACTCTTAAGTTCCATGGGAATTTCTCCATGTAACTGTGCCTTCCATGACATAATCAGGTTGGTGTTTCCTCTTTGATCTCCCTTAATTGTCTACATTGGACTCCTTTGTTATACTTTTTTTTTTTTTTTGGTACCAGGGATTAAACTTGGGACCTTGCGCTTGCCAGGCAGGTGGCCGAACCACTAAGCTAAATCCCTGGCTCTGTTACACTGATTTTCTGATGGCATAAAAATCTCTTGGCTCACAGACAGTGAGCCTCTTGAAGGCTGGGTCCATGTCATTATTCAGTAATTATCAAGGCATTATGTAGAAATGGCCTACCTATAGCAGAGAAGTCTGCCACATAGCAGGTGATGAATAGGGCTCTGGTAATACTTTCACTTTGAATTTTAAGGCCCTTCTGTCCTCTGAAAACTAGAAAATGGTCAGTTCATTGATTGAGCACCTATTGTATGTAAGAATGCTATTATTTTAAGTATGTTGTTTGTCTTAGTGATAGATATGCTTTAGATACATCTTTCTCTCACCAGCTGTCTCAAATTTTCTAAAATAAGCAGTATTTTTAAAACTTGTAGTGTTAACCATTAACCTGCACAGTTAAAAATAAATTTCACCTATTTCAAGGGTAGCGATACATTCTTTTTTTATTAACGTTCAAGTATAGGAAAGTGCCAATGTTGGAGTATATCATCAGTCCTATTATAACCTTACTACAATGAATGTTCTAGACAGAGGTGGTGAACCTATGGCATGTGTGCCAGCTCTTTGTTTTCACCCATTACTGTTCTAAAATGTATCTGTACAGAACTAGAACTAGCCAGAGACAACTAGATATATGGTTGTTCAGTAGAATTGTTCTTGGCCATTTACTCAATGCCCATCAAACTTGACATGATCATCTTCCTTTAAATATAAAGAATTTCTTGGCCAAGGTCATGTGTCTAGAGAATGGCAGACTCAGGATAACTAAAACTTGTTTGCCCTCAAACTTTCTGCTAAGTACTGCACTTACTGCTTCTCTACAGTAAGATAAAAGGGAAAACCCAGCGATTGCTTCTCAAGTTTCATATAGTATGCTAAAGCCATTACATGTTTTCATTTATTCTTCAGATTTGGGGAAGAATGTAAAATCCTATTATCTCCCTATATTACACATGCAACAGATATGTTAAGTATCTTGCCTAATTTCAAATGCTAAATGAGAGAGCTAGGATTGGAATCCAACTCTCACAGTGAATGCTAAATATTTTTTGAGTGAATGAGTAAATTCCTGTCAAGACAGTTAAATTCTAACATGTTTGGTACATGGAACAAGCATAAAATAAGTCAACACATTCACAATTATTTCCTCACTAGGTATAGCATCTTCAATTAAATATTTTTAAAACCTTTCTTTGTCTAGCTTATTACAGGTTAAACCTAATCTGTTTTTCATCTGAATGAATAAAACATATCTGGATCTTTGGGCTAGTTGTTGCTCAAGAAATTTATTTTGACCAAAGCAAGTTGAATTTATTTGTTCTATATACATGAATAATACTGAAACTTGAGGATTGGTTTTGATTTACTATAACTGATCCACCTAGTCTAAGGTAACTGAAACTAATTCTTTTATCAGCTTAAATGTATATTTTAGGCAGCTTTAAAGCTCTGCCTAGTTTAAAGTGGTCAGGCAAAACAGGTGGAACCACTCATAGCCACTTTGTGGCTATTCATACCTGTCCCAAATAGCTCCATAAGATGATCTAAGGATGGGAATAACATGGTCAAAAAGGTTCAGGAAATGCTCCCTTTTTAGAGATCCACTATATTCATTTAATCCATCCCACATAAAGTCTTAGAACTCAAGTGAATGATGTTTCAATTTACCTCATGGCTTCCCCAACTTAATTTGTAACACAAAACTAAACCTAGTATTTGAAAATAGCATGTTGCTTTAAAAAACACTTTGGAAAAATACTGACCTTTCAAAAAATTATTAGCCACTAGTTTAAATGGATCAGATGTCATTTTTATGATAGATCATGTTGTTTCAACTGGATCTGACCTATTCTTTAAGTTCTTATAATTAAATTCTCAGCATTTTAAAACACATTTAAAACAGATTCAGTCAGGATGTATTTAAAATGTATGACAATGTAATTATTTTCTTAATATTTTCTCATGGAGAGGTGGAAAATGTTCTATATGGTCTGTAAAAAGAACTCATTTCGAGGAATAAGATGAAAGGTTTCCAAGTTATGGTGGAGGAGTGGTTATGTTTACCTAAGAGTATATAAAATGTTATCCCAAGGAAAAGGGTCTGCTTGTGTGGGTGTTAGAAAATAATCTTTGATTTCAGTAAGCTCATATTGTTTCATCCTTGAGGCCTTAGTGAGAAATTAGGCTCAATGGTTCAGCAAGGAATTGGAAATTATCCTTGTAGACAACATCCCAACTTCTGCTAATATGTGGCAGGAGGTACACAAAAGGGAGAGGGGTCCTCATGGAGATTTCAAAGTTCCACTCATGGAGTATCCTAAAATGTCAATAAAAGACTTTATTCATAAATAACTGATATGCGGTTATTTACGTCTGTACATTTGTCTTGAAAAGTCTGTAACCATCCAGTTTTTTTTTTTTTTTTGCAAACTCTACATAAAACATCCAAACTGTCCATTTTGTTCAGTACAATATAACACAGCTGTTTGGCATTACCAAATATATATGTATATATATTTATAGATCTGTACATGTGCTGAAAAGAAGCCAGTGCAGCCTTCTCTAAGAAGTCCGTTCAAGTTTACTGTACAACATTCAGAATTTACATTGATAATACAAGGCACAAAAAGTGTGGTATGAAGCCAAGGCCATGCTTTATTTAAACTCTTTTCTGGCTTGCTCACTCCTTCAGCTTCATGTCAAATTTAGTGTTCAGCTTTACTTTTCAAATTATACTTGTTTTGGCTTTGAACACATCAAATAAAAGTTGAGAGTGGTATGGGTTTGAGATATGAATCACTTGCAAGAACACCCCCATGTACCTTCCCAAAATAAACAGAACAAATTAAAATCTGTTTTAAATTCTTCCATACAGAAATGGAGGTTCATAAGAACTAATTTTTTTGTATGTGTGAATTTGGGTTAGAAAGTAAGCCAACTTTCTTCTACCAGCTTATGTTTACAAGATTTCTAGGTCAAGATTTGAGTGCATGTGTTGATCAAATACAAGCGTGAAGGATGGAAATTCTGTCATTACTCCAATGAATAAAAGGAGAAAGTTGTGTTCCTGACCAGAAAATTTTGGCAGTCTGAGTGTTTCCCCAACTTCTTGCAGAGAAGTGTGGAGTGGGAGCATGGTGGAGGATGAGCCTCAAAGATGTTCCTGAAGGATGGTTTTCAGGGTCTCTCAGATGAGGGTCAGGGGGCTGCATCCTGTGTTCTCCCTCTCAGCACCATCAGAACTGGTGAACTGTGCCGTATTAGAACTGTTAGATCCAATTCTTATTGGAATATCTGTGTTGTTGTTAAAGTGAGTCATAAGGCATGATATTCTACTTATACATGTCTTTCAAATATCATCTCTCCTTTGATGAGTCACCAGAACCACAATTTAATCTCTACCTGCAATAGATACTAAGTTTTCAAGGAATTAAATAAATTGTTCACTTTTGGAATTTGGAATTAAATATGCTTGACATAAATGAAATGCTTTTGTACCATTAGCAAATTGTAAGAAAAAAGGGAATTTTCATTGTAATCAGGTCTTTTGTAAAATAATTTTGATACATATTTCCATTCATTCAAAGAACTTTCCAATTTCAGTGATATATTCTGTAATCAAAAGTATATATAAATTTCTGGAAAAAAAACTTAATCCCCATTAAACCTAATAGTAGGGTTAGGGAAGGAAATTTTTAAGCTTAGGCCTAAACATGAAGCTTACTGTCTTTTTAATCTTTGGGTTCAGTTGAGGGTAGGTTCCAAGACATGAAGTTTAAATGTTATTGTCTTAGGCCCACCTCATGAAGACATTCCAAATCCATGATCTTAACAGCAAAAGGAAAAAGCAATGAGTAGCTGCTTCAAAAACCACAATTATTCTATGTGAGTTAAATTTCCTACTTCAGATCACAGTACTACACACTAGTGACTAATAGCCAGGTCTGGTTTCCATCCCCTTTTATCTTTTGAAAAATGACAGCATTCTAAATTGCTGTTTTGACTCTGTTGATGACCCTGGAGTGGGGATGCAAGGAGTCCATGAGAAACCCTGGCTCTCCTAGAACTGCTTTTGCAAAACACACCACATGCTGTCGATACAGCCAAACAGCTTTGTAACTGCAGCTTTTGAAAGAGTTTGGAAAGGAGAAACACAAAATATGCAACACATCTAAGATTAGTAACATTTTCACTTTTGTGACATTTGACAAAATACGTTTTTGCTTGTAGTTCAGGAAAAAGTCTATGCAGACAAAATAGTGGAAACTACGGAAAAGGTGGCCATTCAGCTGTTGGCTAAAGCATCAATTTTCAAATACAGCGCTATGGCAACAAACACCAAAAGGCTAAGAAAATTTTTTCACCATCTGCATGCCATCATTTTGCTCTCCCATTTGCTGTAGCTGTCACCTTGAGTCCAGTCAATGGGGAGCTACTGCGGATTCGAACATTGCAATGTTTCATGAGGAAACAGAATGAAAATGGGCCACGCAGTGGGCCAGACAGGCATGCTGCTCAGCAACTTCCTGCTTCCTGCAGCCTTTACAGAGCTGAAACAGAGACCTCAGGGAACATCATCTTCAGCAAATCTGACTGCTAGATCGTTCAACACAGTCACAGAGGGCAGAGAGACCAAGAAATTAAAGAGAAAATGGCTAAAAGGAAAAACAAATACATTTCAAGAGAATTTATAACATTATGGAATTCACAGGTATATTTGTCAAAAGTTGGCAAGTAGAGAAACATTATCTAAAACCTATTATAACATGTTACTATCTACTTTGTTTATCAATCCTGGTGTTGAGAATTTTTATCAAGCAAAATAACTGCAGTTAATCCAGGACTTTAATCCGAAGAGAATCTTGTTTTAGCAATATGACTTAACATTCCCTCTTAAAGCCAACTGAAAGAAAAATATGAGGACCATGACAAAGGATAACTTCTGTAGTCAGAACAAAAGTAAGAGAAAAGTCCCCTCTTTAAAGGGAACGGTATCAATTCTTTTCATCTTTTACAAAAAGGCCAATAAAATTTTTGTGGGAGTACATCTGAATTTTATGAGACTTCCTGCACCAGTAAATGAAGTTTGCATTTAAATCTATATAGTGAGTTTCCTTTTGGCTTAAAGGATTTTAATGTAAGCCAGTAAGACTGTACAGCAATGTTGTAAAAAGTATAAATTAGCTTTAATGATGCTGTCTGGCAAAGCTGTGAATTGTGCCATTTTGGTGGCATGATTTTTAGTCATGTTTAAGGCATGACTGTTAGACTTAAATGTCTTTGAACACTGAGAGATTTGGCCTTAAGTGGGATGTTTTGAAAAATCAACCTATAAAGTATTTAGGGCCACTTTTACTTTAGGCTTCAGTTTTTCACTCAGATCATAAGACTTCCAAATTGAGTGCTTAGACTAATGAGTAAATATCTGTCAAGAGAAGTATTTGTGTTATGACAGGTAAATATCATAGAAAAAGCTTTGGGTCACAGTAAATAACCATGAGTTCAAATGTGAACTAAGACTTTATCTGACCTGCAATCCCTTTCCCTGCCACATACACACCTTGGTCTATAAATCTCACAAACATGGGTTCTCTTTGAAATTCTTTTGTATAGCACTGCACAATCTTAATATTCAATGACCACAGAATCTCATACATTAATATAGAAATCCTATGTAGTATAATAGCAGAAGAAAGAAATGTAAAGGAAAAATATGAATGGAACGATGAATTTGAATGAACCTTGAGCTGAAATCTGAGGTGAATCATATTAACCTCTCCCTTTGTTACTCTATGCCATGTGATGATCAATTTCATTGTTAAATCCAGACCCAAAGAAAAATCCCCCAAAGTGGAGGAAATTCCAGACATACAGGGCTTAACAATCATCTCATCTCATTTTAAAATAATCTAGATAGGTCCCAAGGGAAGGGAAGTCACTTAAATTTTTCATCTCTTTAAAGAAAAAAAGACAAAAATTCTACAAAGGACCTGTGTAGATTCATAGAATACATACAACAGTTATATGGCCAACTAGAAGAAAAGAGGAAAAACATGTAAGATGATTTAAAACAAAATCCTCCAAAGTGTATGTTAACATAGGGTCTGTCATGTGCTTTAAACAGGTTATTCCTCCACAGATTAATGCAGACTTCATCTGCCCCAATCAGGCCAGTCAACTCTCTGGTATAACTCTCTGATGACTAGCCATCCATCTCCAACTTTCTCTCAAAAGTCATATTAGTAATATCAAGTGATTTATCTTTTCATACTGTCTCTGAATTGTTCCCTAGAAGAAATAAACAAGTGGAGCACATTAGCAAAAGGGTGTTCTCCTGACTTAGTGATGATATTTTGAAAATATGCTCGATGGTTCTAAGATGATTTGTTCTATGTAATAAGCCTTTGGTTCCTGAGAAAAGCAAGATGCTTTTGAGTTATGTATAGTAAAGCTTTCTGTCTAATCCAGGGGACCATATATACCACACATTAGTTAGAGGAAGTGGCCAAGGCATTGAACACTGTTTCAATGCTTATCCATGGTATTATAAATTCAACCTGTCTTCAGCTCTTTTTCCACTTGGGAGGAGATCCACAATACTTTCTTTTCAAAAAAGGGACCTATAAGATTTAAAAAAAATGATTATATGCCCATTGTCAAATACTATTTCCCTCATTCCCTACCTATTTTTATTCTATTCTAATGTAGCCAACCTCTAAGGAACTAATTAGGTGCCTTGTAGTTAATCTTGGTTCTTGACTTTGGTTGTCCTGATTGTGGACTGCTCCTGACATCAACTAGCTAATGGGCAGTAGCATGTTCATCTTTAGCCTACCAGGATATCTTGTCAAAAATAACTGCATAGGGTAAAAAAAAAAAAAAAAATGGAGTCAAGAGTTAAGATGAGCGTCATGAATTATCTGTGAATTTTAATTCTCTATAATGTTACTGCCTCCTCTTTTAAAAAAATTATAAAGTGAAGTAGTTCTATAGAGAAAACCATGTGGTGAAGGTGAGCAGCCAGAGCTTGAAGGCTCCTGCAGGATCCATGTGGTTCCTGGGACACCATGGTAGAGGTATTCCTTCGGTCTGTTTACTCAGGTGTCACTCAGAGCAAAGACTATCTGCTAATTCCCCAAGAGGCAAAAGGAAGATGATCCATGGCCCTACTGCGAGGTTTTGTGATGATCTAGGACCAAAAGGTTGGAAAATTTCTAGAACTTGAGTTGGAAAGGACAGTAAAACTCCTCATTCCCTTATCACAAAACTACTGTCAAACTGGATCAACATCTGTCTCCCAGAGTGACTGCTTATTTAAGAACTGTGACATCTGTAGCTCATATGTATCCCTTGACCTGGCTAGACCTTTACTATCTCCATACCCATGTAATAAGCTGTGTTCTAATAGCACTCTGAAATTTGAGTGGTTAATCTGGGAACAGAGATGCTCATGTTAAATCAGATAAAATCAATTTTCATATCCAAAGGTCTTACTATGTTCCTTGAACTCTTTCTTCTCCACTGGGTAAAGGAAGATGAGAAGAAATGGGTAAGTTTATCTCTGGGAAAAATGAAGATGAGGTATACTACAAGAACTAGTTTGTGGTCTATCTTATTTTTAAGTCTTGTCTCCATTAAGCGGCTAGTATAAACAGGAAATTGGTGCTGGTGTGAAAAGATTCAGATTCTAAATTGTATATCTCCTCCTTGACACTGGTGAAGTCATACAAATGGTTTGACAACCCTATCTCACTTCTAAAACCCAGTTTTACAATCCCAAATTCACAGATGCTAGTTGGTAGAGAACTTTGACCATCTGGCACCAGAATCAGCTGGTCCTATAGAGCACATCATTCAAAACCTGTCTCAGAACATGCACTTAATCAATTTCTGCCTTCCCAGGTTTATCGTAGCTCATCTCTTCCCACAGCTACTTCAGTGTAGATATGCCCTCACTTCTATCCTTGCCACTCCAAATCTGAGGATGGCATCTAGTGTTAACCTGTGTGTGGCTTCAGAGGAGACAGTACAACTCTCCTGTGTCTGAAAGAGCTTTTACTTTTCATTACTAACATCTTTCATCTATACAAATTTCAGTTTCTTCAACCAAGGAATCTCACTGATCATAAAGGCTGAATTTCCCAAATGCCACTGGGTAGAAAGCTGCCTCTTTCTTTTCCATTTAAAACAATGTCCCAAAGCTGGCCATCCTTCTGCCTCCTAAGGGAGTTGACTAGAGTCCATTTTGCCTGCTGTAGTTGAAGTCGGGTTCATCAAGCTGGGATTCTGTAATGTTCGAGAGTTTCATGTGTGTCCTTCCAATTTCTTCAAGGGCACAGGCCAGGGAGTCAAGGTCACCATCATGCTGATGACGAGCTTCCCACAGGTTCAAAATGACAGCAGATGGGCTACTTTGTGTAGCAAAATAAGATAAATTCCTAGAGAGAGTTAAAAAATAAAAATCACCGTATGAAAATTTTAAATAAACTTTAGTAGATATTATTTCCATAGGGGTAGAAAGTTATACTAAGGTAGATCTGGGGTAGTCTAGTTTGTATCACAACCTTCAACTGAAACTGTACTTCGAAATACTACCAATGGCCACCTTAGCCTCCAAGTCTTGTCTCTGTTCTCTTTAATAGTACGTGTTTCTTGACCACCCCCTTGAAATTACACCATTAGTTTATGTGATGATATAACTCATTCCTATCTTTCAACATATCTGATTCCTCCTTCCTTCAGTAAACACAAGAATTGCCAAGGGTTTATCTTTGATCTCTTGGTCTTCCTTTTTTCCTCAGTGGACCCATATATGAAATGGAGTAGTTAATTCTGTGTCTGAATCTGTATCTCCAATCCTATCAGTTGATGAGAGCTAGTTACAGATCTCTAAATGCTTTAGGGTTGCTCTGATTACATGTCCCTTCATTTCCTCAAACTCAACAGTCCCAGGAACTGATACCATCTCCCTGCCTCCAAATTAGTTCCCTTTGTAACTATAACAAGTATCCTAGCATTTATGATGGTATCTTTCTCTTCTCACACTATGGCATTTGGATTTGATCCCTCCCTTAGTATTGTTTCTTTATTTTTGATGTATTCATTGGCTTCAGACTTCCTCTCCAGTCATTCTACTTGTAAGTAATTTATATGCCATCACTTTTTGGCCTACATCAGCCAAAGGTTTTCAAATTTTGTCTCCAAATCCTCCATCTAATTCATGCTGCATTTTGTTTCCTCAATCATATGTATTGTAATTGTTTTCAATGTCTTCTTTTGTCAGTCCTCACCACTGAGATATAGATCTCTGGAAATCTCTTATATATGTATGTATGTATTTATTTTTGGTACCAGAGATCAAACTCAGGACCTTGCACTTGTAAGGCAGGCAGTGTCACTGAGCTAAATCCCCAGCCTCTCATATGTATATATATAAACACACACACACACACACACACACACACACACATATATATCCCCAAGTCCACTTTTGGTCCTTGAGCCATCAGTCCTGACTTTGGTAATACTTTGTTTCTTGCTTTCATTTAATCTATTCCACTCACTAGGAATGTCCACTTCCTTCCTTTGCCCCGATTTTCAAGAGCATACACTCCTACAAAGTGTGGTTCTAATCTCATTTCCTCTTTCCTCAAAATGATTTGTCTCATCTGAAATTTTGTTATCCTTGGTTTAAACTTGTATATCTGGTGTGTATTAGTGAGTGAACTTTGTCTTGCCAATTTGACTATAAACACTTGAAAGTTAAGGATCATATTTAAATAAGTCTCTGAATTTGCTACAGCGCTTATCATAACACTATGACAGGTGTTTATTTGACACCCATTACCAGAATAATTGAATCTTACAAGACGTTTTTCAGGTGATACAGTTTCTTCTGTGAAAAAATGATAACTGTTTGGACAGTAATTTTGCTGTGATGAAGACTAGGATAACACAAAGGATTAAAGGTCGCCGTTTTTCATAGGGCTCTTACAGTAAGGACAGAAATGTCACTTCTGCTGAAATTCTGATGAGTTAAAGCTTTTTCAGAGAATTGTCTGCTTTAGGAATGATACTACTCCCTGGCACTATGCTCGGCATATACTCACAAAGTGGATTTATATAGAGAAGAGCACTTGGAAAAGAAGAAACATTTTTAATGGCACATTACCATATACAAGCAACACACACACATTCAAAGAAGTTCTGAATGAATAAAATGCTGTCTTTTCTAAAAGTCTTAACAGAGCATTTACAGCCAGATGATTGTCTTATAACACAGATATGAAGGTCATTACATATACAATCCACTACCTATGTAACTTTAACTGAGAAAGGAAGGTGGCCAACTCAAAAGTGTTCTTTCTAGTTTCATTTTAAACTTTTTCCTTCCTTTCTTTTTTCTTTTTTTAAATGATTACTTTTTCCTGAATAGAAATGTTACAACTAACCCTGCTTCAGTCATTGAAGGAATTCTTTTTCTTTTATTGGAGAACTCTGTTGTGAATATTGGCACTTCTTCCTGGCCATGTGGAAATGTTATTATCTCCCTACACACACCCTCATTCATTTTCAGGCAGAATAGATTGAAAGAATAGTGGAGAACAAAGCACCCTGAGAACTGAGGTGGGAGAGGACTCTGGGTAGCCTCTGCAACCATCTCTTTTCATATCCATTATCAGAATAATGACTATGGACATACTTTTGTTTTTATGATCCCCATTTTTTTTCACAAGCAGCACTGGCTTTTCCACAATTTTACTGAGCATTCATGTTTTGTATTTGCTATTGAGCATCAAGGAACTGGGGTAGTGTAGGAGTGACTGGAAAGAATCCTTATGCTCCCACTAACCCAAAAGATAAACTGTAAATCTATTTCGGGATTGACAAATGTTTTCTGTAAAGGGCCAGACAGTAATATTTCTGGCCTTGGCGGGTCACATTTCTGGCCTTGGGAGGTCTTTATGGCAGCTACTCCACTCTGCCAAGGTAATGTGAAAAAGCAGTGTTTGGCAATACATGTGCTAATTGCGTGGTTGTCTTCCAATAAAACTTCATGTCATGACACTGAAATTTGATTGTTAAACAGTTTCCATGTCTCTCGAATTATTACTCTCCTTTTGAGTTTTCCTAACCATTTAAAAATGTAAGAAAAACTCTTAGCTTGTGGCTATGAAAACAGGCCATAGGCCAGATGTAGCTGTCACCATTGCATCGACCCCTTCCCTCTGCTATTTATGAATCAAAATAGATGTCCATAGCTAAGAGTTATTGGAAAGATTAGCTTGAGCATTCTGCTTTGGAGTGCACTTGCAAATAAGCACCTGGATGGCCAAAGTTCCTGAATCCCAAGCTATGTGTTTTGCTTCAAGTACTCTGAGAGCTTTATCCTTTTAAATGTTGGAGAATCTTTGACACTTGAAGACATGATAGGAAGACTGACCATAAAAAGCACAGTCATGAGACAGGCATAGAGAATATGTTTTGAAAGTGATGGTGAATTTTTGTTTCAATACAACATGAAAAATATCCTTGAATCTAAATGGGCTAGAATGTGTTCTGGGTACACCTGCTTAGAGGAAGGTAGGACTTAGAGCCTGGAGCAGAAGGACTCCTGCAAGCCATGTGACACTGAATAGTCCCACAAGTGTCCAGAGTTTGGAAAAGGCACCAAGGGCTAAAAGGAAGCTAAGTGATCAAAAGAGTGAGAAATAAAGCTCACTTGGCACAAATCTCTGAACATATTGTAGCTAGTGAAATGTGCTTCCCAAAGCAAGTTTTAGATGTATTCTTTGAATTTACACAAGCACACTCATCATAACACATCCAAATTTCAAATTCTATGTCATTTAATAGACCCATAGAGGAGCCTATCAGCCTTTTTACAAATAATATAATCAGCTTTGCAGTTAATAAGTATTAAAGTGTACCTACCTGTCTCCAACAGAAAAATGAATATCTAAAAACCAAATCCTAATAGACTACTCCTCAAATATAGCTATGCTATTTTACTGAGCACATGGATGCAAATGCATTATGAGTTTTTGAAAATTGTTATGCCATATATCCATTTGGTTATCTTCATACCACCCTTTAGAGATTATTCTGATCCTAATCTATGTGACCTATTTCTCTTCATGATATTGCTACTACATGGGGAACCAGGAAGCAAATGTAGCCACAACTCAGGGAATTCTTACTACTACAAAATATAATTCACAGCAATAGTTGAATTTAAGTGATTTCCTAAGTCTGTCTCTCTGAAGTGAAACCAAAACACTAGGAAAAAATAGTAATCCTGAATAATTAGGCAGATTGCTAAAAGTGAAGTGTAATTGTTTTCTTTCTCTATAGACACTTTTAATGTGGCCAGTATTTATTATGTTCATCTTCAATGCTTCTGTTTTTTCCTTTTTTATGCACTGCACTTCAGGAATCTTTTTGTCATAGCCTTTGCAAATTCTGTTCCACTGAGGTAACATAGAAAATTAAGATTTAGTTTCTGTGATGCAATAAAGATGTTATCTATAAAGGGAAGTAAGATTATCTAATCTCTGAAATTTAGAAATTTACTTTAGAAGCATTGTATGACTTCAGTTCAATTCATAGGCTCTAAAACAAATAGACTATGACTTGATCTTTGGAACTTTCACTGAACAAGAACAAGTAAACTATAAAATACATATGCTAAGAGAGCTGAATATATTTATCCATGTAAGCTCATTGAATACTAATTGTTTATTAAATTTAATTTTGTTTGGTCGAACTTAAGTACTCTCTATAGACTGAAGTTCCTGGGGATTTGTTTCATTATGGTGATAAACTTCATCTTTCCTAACCTTCCCCATCCCCATCCCTCAGCTCCAATTAAAAGCCTGTGCTTTATGTGGAAACCAGGGTAGAACTGAAAACGTGAATCTTCATCAATTCCAATAGTTAGGCACCAGACAACTTACGAAGCTAAAGGTGCTCTTAAATTTTAATTTTATTAGTACATGTTTGCAGTACAGAATGATACATTCATTGTGGGGAGTTGGTACATGTAGATACCATATCTTAATTCTTTTTACATCTTCTTGCCCCATACCCCCCATCTCTTGGTTATATAGAATCTTAATTTTCAAAACACATCTTTATACTAATAGCTGTGTTAAGCTAATACTGAATTTAGGTTACGTTTAAAGACGTTTGAGGATAGTTATTGAACTTTATGATTTGTTTTCGGCATACAAGCTGAGAGGCAAAGAGGAGAATTGAGAGGTCATGATAAGATTCTGCCATATAAGGTCTTTATAAATTATTGAAACACAGGGCTAATTTTGTAAAAAGGAAAACTGGCTAGAAATGCTCCCTTTTCTTTAGTTCTGTGAAAGCTTTCAGATCTTTCAGAATCCCTGCAGTATTCAAATGCAAATAGCTAGGGACTAGTACATCTGAA